AGTCCCAAGAGCGAACAACCCCCAAAACAAAGAGCACAAACAAAAGCCTTCCCCCCCCCCCAAGCTTTGAAAGTATCTTGTCCCCTTATTGGTCCTTTGGGTCAGGTGTCAGCCAGGTTACCTGAGCTTCTTAACCCTTTACAGGTAGAAGGATTTTGGAGTCTCTGACCAGGAGGGATTTTATAGTACTGTAAACAGGAGGGCTGTTACCCTTCCCTTTATAGTTATGACGGCTGCCTTCATTGTTGGATAGTCCAGGGCAGACCACCAGCTGAGGGGCCTATAAGCGGCTTCCCCTCCCATGTCAAGACAGGCAGTAGATGGCTCATGTTTTGGAGTCCCAACATGCACAGCTGGTGAGCAACAAAAAGGTCTTTAGAAAGGCCTCTGGGTCATTGTCTGGTACCATTTTGGACAACACAGGGTCACCGGGTCAACTTGACCAGTCTGCCCTATCTCCAGCTGGCAGGGGTGGGGCCGTCCTGGTGGGCACCCTCATTAGCGTGTTCAGGTGCTCCTGTGGGGTGGCCCTGTTGTTGAGCTGCAGCGTGAGCCTCCTGCTGTTGCTGCTGGGTGCCTGCTTGCAGCTTGTTTTGCCATTTGCTGCAACAGCTGTAGTGTCAAGACTTGCATCTGCCGCTGCTGCTCCTGGGCTGTAGCTTGCTGGTCTAAGGGAGTGGCCTGCTGCTTGGCAAATAACCACAGTGCTTCCTCCACCTGGGGCCCTACTGAGCTTCTAGATCCACGTTGCAGTTCTGTGGGGATGGGATACAGTGAGAAATTCCACTTCTAGTATCACGTGTAAGTGCATCAGTCCAACAGTGCCCCTCCGGCCAAGCAGGGCACGGCACCAGCTCCTTCAGCTCAGCGGGGCCATCGGTCTCTTCCTGGAACCCAGAAATCTGAAAAACCCTCTCAGATCTGAGGCCTGTGAGGGGATTGGTAGGGGAACCCAGGCCCACCCACTCCAACCCTCACAAGCTAGACGTGCAGGACTTTGACAGTGCCCTGAGCACCTTCCTACCTTTCTCCCAGTCTCTGCAGGCTCTTCAGTCTGTTGGTCCTTTTGTCCCTTGCTGGGATGTTGTCCTTGGGCTGCTCTTTAGCAGTCTGCTGACAGGAATTAGCTTTTCCAGCCTTCTCACTCCTGTGGTAGCTGCCCTGCCCCTCTGCTTACCAGCCCTTTTATCCTACCACTGGCTGTGAGGCTGCCAATCAGCAGTGGCTGGCAGTGCCTGTATTACCCTTTGGTTGCTGGGCCAGCGTGGATTACATACACCATATGGTAGGCACCTAGGATTCTACTGGAGTCCATTTGGACATGCCCACTCTTCCAAAGACTACAAAACGTAACCTGCCCCCATGAGGTTCAGAAAACCTGGTCTCGCTGCTTCAGAACATGAGCTCAGAGAGACGAACTGAGACCATCCATGGGGCAAACTGAAATGTGCTGAGGCCACTCCAAACTGTGCCCCTGAGGTTCCAGAATGACCCCTAGACAAGGGAGCCCCAAACAGCACCTTAATTCAGCTAATGCCATGTGAGCGAGACAGAAATACTTAGGGGCACTTGGAGCCAGTGACCTTTTCATAGATTCTGTGGTGGTCAGGAGCCCAGGATCCATGAGAATCGCAGCCTCCAGATGGGATCCTGTGTTTACTGCAGATCAGCTGGGATTGGTCAGAAACCTTATTGACAGTTGTCAGGACAGGGCCTTAGAAAATGCTCTGAGACTCATCACTTAACCCAGGATTTCAGCTGAGTCAGGGTGGTCTGAGCTCTTATCTCTGCCTTAAAGCTTGTTTATTTCCCATGAAATGTTGGTCATTCCCTACTACAATGTGAAAGTCACTGAGTCTTTGGTCCATTCTTGTAACTTGACTCTGACCTATTTACTGTCTTGTCTTCATAGTGATAAATAATCACATTACAAAGGGAAAGAAAATGTGGTGAATGTGAAACTTGTCAGATGAATAAAAATATTATGTAAAGATTAATTCAAACAAGACTATTGAATGGGCTGGAAAATGCTGCATTTCCTTCCTTGCTCAGAGTCACAGTAATGGGAAGGAGTTACTTCTGGAACATCAGTAGGACCAACTAGCATCAAGGGGATGTGGGCTAAATGCCCAGAGGAGGCAGAATGCTTGTTGGCATCACATAACCCACCAAATGAATCTAAAGATCCCCAGCCAGAGTGATAAAGTATTAGACGAGTTGCTTACCGTCAGAGGCATGAGATCTGCCAGATCCTGACGCCTGAGTCCTAGGGCCTCCCAAGGGGTTTCTGCCTGAACGGAGGTTCCACAGTGAGTGAGGAGGGGAAGGGTCTCATGCACAGGCCCCTGGAACAATATGGCATCACCTCTTGCTGGTTTGTGGGGAG